TAGGGTCCATGATTTCTTTATTGTTTTATTCAGTATTTATGATGTAACATTGTGTTTCTTTCCTCATTAATATATTATTGTTAATTTATTTCTAAAGGTGTAGTACCACTAAGCGACCCTGACAATGTTTACCTTCTCCAGATGGTTGTTATGTAGGTCTGCTGGACACGTCATCCATGTAGACGCTTTTGATGCTGAACTTAACAATCTACTTAATCGAATCAGGGTTGTGAACCTTATATTCTGTGGTCGTCCGGGACAGGAGGTAGAACCCTTGCTGGGTCACGTATCCCGAGCCACCCCGAGTATAATGAGGCTTCAAACTTCAACCCACGTCAGTACTGCCGCTATAACCTTCCTGATAGCATCTCTTACCTGGTGCCCAAGTGGACAGGTGAATTGTATAGCTCTCACCGTTGCTTATATTAGAAATTGTTCAGTACATTTAGGTGAGTGTCGTTCTACTGAGGTTATTAATTTTGTAGGTAGGTTCATTTAGCATTTGTACAGGTATTAATAATTTTTTATTCCAGGTATAAGATGTAAACAAGTGAGTTTCTGGTGATGATTAGTAAGAGGGACTGACACTCATGCCTCGTGCTAATGATCTTGGTGATATCTGCTTACTTACACCAGTACCTCAGCTGCCTCCCAGTGGTGCAAATTATTCACCTCAGTTTAAGACAGTAAAAAGTTGTGAAGCATCAAACATCGTGCATGGAAATAAAATAGCGAAAGGGTTTAAATACTTCTTTAGTTTTGCCGAACGAAGTCTTTTTAGGGACTTAGCCACAGAAGTAAGTAAGGGTTATAGAATGAGCACAAACCAGAGGCTGTTGTGATTGGTCTATCATTCTATACTCACACGAGTTCGAGCTACGACCTCCAGTCACAGGTCAATGTGCAGTGAACGAATTAATAATTGTTTATAGAACAATTGTTACTTATATTAACTTGTAATTAAATAAAGGTAAAGTTAGGTAACCAATGTTCTGTAAACAATCGACTAGTTTTGTATTGAGGACAACTTCTCCCTTACATCGAGGACACCAAACAGTTGGTACACAAATTGCAGTTTTCGTTCATTTGTTTTTCCATATATTTTTTTATCTTCAAATAATGGAGTGTCCGTTACGACCATTGGCTGTCATTTTTTGTTTCATACAAACGCTTATCAGCGACCGAACGCTACCAGCGACCGAACGTTTCCTTGACCTTTCCATACGAACACTTGTAGAGACTTTTACTCTTCCAGCAGACAGTCCTACAGTGGCGAGAGCAGCTTACCCGTGAAAGATAAACAGGGGTAGCTTTTAGTGAACATAGTTGGAATATAGAGGGTAATTGTACTGCATTTAGATCCATTCTCTGTGAAAATAAAACTACTGTTGTAGTTGTCGACGGAGTCAACTTACGACGCTGTGTGTTAAGTAGATACTTCACCTCATATTTACTCAAGATATCCCGTGTGCAACAATTCACAGCCAACTAAACTCTCCATGTAAGATTTTATCGGGTTTTAGCGAGGGTCAGTGAATTCAGAGGTAAATTATTCCCAAGAAACCCGCACTCACATTTTTAATCTTCCGCCTTCCTCGGGGTCTTCAGCCACTCATTCTGGCAAGAGGATTTCTTACAGTTGAAAATGTCGCAGAATTAGTGTCATTGAAACCTTCTCAAGAGCACAGTTTCTGGAGCATTGTTAACGAGGAAGTCTTGTTGCCTCTTGATATTTATAAAGGTTTAATTATCATCTTTGTTCCAGTCTATTTTTAAAATATGATAAACCTAACCGGAGATGTCTAGACTTACACAGTTCATAATATCTTAGGGTTTTGAAAATTCGGTCTGGAAAAGCAATTTCATTCCTACTTACTGAGTCCTCCAAACGCAGGTATTCACTCTTGAGTAAATTCAACTCCACTGGTATTCCCTGGCAGTATTTCCTGTCAGACACTGCTTTATTCCAAACGTTTTCTTTTCTCCTTGTCTGACAGAAAGCTATTGGGCGATTTAAATTCTTTCCTTAGTCTTATAGGCACGAGGATTTATAGGAAATATACTTTAAGATGTTTCTCCTCAGCCCTCCCCCTGTCATATGCATTCGCCCGACACAGCTATCTTAATAATAATAATAATAATAATTAACGGTTTATTGAAAGAGCTTGGCAGCCAGAAGGCTGAAAATATACAGTTACATATTTGGGGAATGGGTTTCGAATTACAAATAATATACAAGTAACACAAGTGATACAAATAAGATATATAATAACTAGATGGGGAAAAGCTCAAACTACAGTTCATTTCAACATAGTGACAGTGCAAGGAGTAGTGTTTACTGGGAGTGAATACTGGTTTATTACAAGTTATTGATAATTTTACAATGGTTGGGACTGGGCTGTTCTTATAGCGATCAGTTCGTGCACGTATGGGCTGGATGCGGTTGTGGTGTCGAACAGCAATTCTCGGGCTAGGGATCTCAGGTGGTAGTAGGAGCCGGTGTCGAGGATGGTGTAGAAGCTTCTTACCAAATTTGCAGATGAGGTCGTGGTGATGGTCAGTGAGAGTCGAAAGGGTCAGTGTGTTGAGCGCTTCTTGATATGTGGAGTAGGAAGGGGAGAGAATAATCTTGCCTGCCCTCTTTTGCACTTTTTCTAGGTGTTTACGTTGTGTGGCATTTAGGGAGGAAGACCAGGTGGTGGAGGCATAGGTGAGCTTGGGAAGTATGAATGTTGTGTAAACACTGAGGAGCTCGGGTGCAGGAACTCCGAGGGACCTGAGTCGGCGGAGGAGGTGGAGATGGAAACTGGAAGATTTGACAACTTCACTGACGTGTGGTTTCCAATTTAGTTTGTTGTCTATGGTGACGCCGAGGAGCTTCGTAGAATCTACAACCTGGAGTGTGTTCGGACCTAGACTAATGGAAGGAGGTGGGACAATGTCGGGGGAGAGGTTGATGTGCATAACCATGGTCTTGGTATGGTTGATGGTGATATGGTTGTTGGTGGCCCAGTTTTGGAGACTGTTCAATAAATCCTGAAGGGCGGTATAGTTGGGAGCAGAATTGTTGACGCTGATCCCAATGGTGGAGTCGTCGACATATTTCCAGCGAGCAGGGGTTTCTCTTAGGGCATCATTGATGAGCATAAGGAAGCAGAGTGGTCCCATCTTGGTGCCTTGGGGACGCCACAGGTGAGTGACTGAAAGGTGGAGACAGCCCCTCGGAAGCGTACAGCTTGGCGTCGGTCACTGAGGAAGTCTGTAAGCCATGGTATAAGACTTCTCCGAAGCCCGAGGTCAATAGCTTTGTTGATGATTATATTGTGGTCGACTAGGTCGAATGCTTTAGTGAAATCAATGAAGGCGACAGCTACAGACGTTTTTCGTTTCTCGAGATGGCGGTATATGTAATCGAGAAAGCTGACAAGACAGTGAGTGGTGGAGGAAGTTTTCATGTTGCCAAATTGCTGAGGGTCTACGACTCCTGCAATATCAGCATAAGCCCAGTCGAACACAAAACTTTCACAGATTAGGCTGGGTATTGGGGTGATTGCAATAGGTCGTAGCTGATTTAAGGATTGTGGGCTGGTTGACTTGGGCACTGGTGATACATAAGAGGTCTTCCAGTCAGCTGGGCATCTGGCTTGACTGAGAGAAGCATTGATGATGGAGCATAGGGGTTTAGCAAGCTCCGGGGAGAACTCCTTGAAGAGTTTCATTGGTAAGTCAATGGGGGTGGTAGAGCGTTTTAATTTTAGTTTGTCCAGGCGTTTTGCTACTTGTTCACCTGTGCGTGTGTCTGTCCGTTATTTTGTTTATCATTTATCCAGCTGTCCGTAGTCGTCCTCCTCTACCCTCGCATCCAACCATCTGCATGATTAGGCGTTGATAAGTTTCCATTAAGCGTAGTATTTCAACATCAGTATTATGCATATTGACCAAGCTTTGTTGATGATGTATGCGGGCCTGACCACTGTGATGCAGGTTACAGCTTGAGGGGTCAGGGCCACAGGTGAAGGTCACTGGTCAAGGTTATAGAGACATATACATTACTTACGTAGTATAAGAGGATTCAGCGGTATAAAATGCCACCACATGACAACTGTATTATGTATTAAGAGTTATGGAAACGTTACAAGTTGTTTACATTAAGTGTTGAGTCCGGAAGAAGGATGATCGCGGATAGTATTGAACATCATCTCGGTATAATGTTCTTGATGTTTACCATGTTAGAAAATATACACGACCATCTTCCCGTGAGGCAACTCGTCACGTCCTAGAGGTGAAGAGCGACACCATCATATGTCATCCACTCAAGAGATTTTTCTCCACACTTAACATTTAACTTATAACGTAAATTAACGAGGCCACACCACGCACACTCTCTCTCCTTCACAGCTCACACCACGCACACTCTCTCTCCTTCACAGCTCACACCACGCACACTCTCTCTCCTTCACAGCTCACACCACGCACACTCTCTCTCCTTCACAGCTCACACCACGCACACTCTCTCTCCTTCACAGCTCCATCTCACCGCTCACTCCCCTTGATTTTATTTTTTATATATATTTTACTTTTTTTTTTTGATCTGCATTTGTGTGTGTGTTTGTATGCGTGCTTGCGTGTGTGCGTACTTATTTATATTTGAGTGCGTGACTGCTCGTGTGTGTGTGTGTGTGTGTGTGTGTGTGTGTGTGTGCGTGTAGATAATGACTTTAGTTTCCGTGGAGCTTTTTAAAATGAGGTCAGACTTGTTCTCTCTCTCTCTCACGACAAAAGAAACAACAAAACTATCAACTTTACGGTACTTACCAAGACTCACCCAAAGTAAACCACGAATATATAGTATCCGTAAACTACTATAGTGTAAACCCTCATCTCTCACAGGTATCACATCATTAACTCTTAGCCTTAACCTATATTCATCACCTTTTACCACTAACCTGCTGCCTTAACTATAACCAACATATTACTGAAGTTATGTTTGTTCCCTGTAGGTTCGGATGTCGGGTCGTGTTGGCGTCTGAAGCGTCGGGACGGCTCGTGTGGTCGGCTGCTCAAGAAGGATGTTACGAAGGATATTTGCTGCTCAGGGCGTCACAGTCGAGGCTGGAGTGTCGCATCCATGACTTTACTCAAACCATTTAATGCTACGTCTGTTCTTCCTTCAGATTTTTCCACCGCTGAAGAAAATTGCTCACCCTGTTCAAGTAAGTCTTTAATCTTTTGTTTTTAAAGCGATGGATAAAGGAAAAAGTTTAGAAGTTTTGAAAGTTGTTTTATCTCTTAAACTTTCCCCACAGTACTTTCAAAGGTTCAAGTTATAATTAATGTGAGAAATACTTTTGCTTGTCTCTTTTAAAATCTCAGAGCGGTATAGATGGCGTGTGTGTGTGTATGTGTCTCTTAGTGTAATGGTTGTATAGATAGACTGGGTTTGAGTGTTTGTTACTCATGAGAACGGTAGAGGTCTTGTTGTACCATTCAAGGGTTCACTGCCGGCTTCACTCTTCGCTATGGGGATTTATGGTCTCGGATTCGGATTTGTCTTCAGGAATACCAATAACACGTGGTGCAGTGTGTGTTGGTCTCTCTCTCTCTCGTTCCTCTCTTTTTCCCTTCCTCTCTCCTTCCTCATCCTCCCTTACTTCTTCTCACACTTTCGATGTTATCTCCCTCCCTCCCTCCCCCCCCCACCTGCAGATTCTCTACCCTTATACTGACGAGGGAGAAGGAAGGAGTGAAGGAAAAGGAAGGAGTAAGGGAGGGATTGAAGGATGGATGATACTCAAGTGATGGAGGTAAGGAGGAGGGACAGAGAGAGGTGGACGTGGTGAGGTAATGACGGAGGGAGGGAAGGATGAGAGAGGGAAGGAAGGAAGGAAGGAAGGAAGGAGTGAAAGATGGATGATAGCAAGAAGAAAGACGGAGGGAGGCTAAGGTAAGGGAGAAAGGGAGAGAGGAAAGGGAGAGAGGAAAGGGGGAGAGAGGGAGCACATCACTGGTCATGATTTATGTAAAAGAAACACTCAACATTCATGCATCAGTCGCAGTCCTTCGCCATCGTTATAGTGACCCACCCTGCCTGCTTACTTGCCTACTTACCTACTTGCCTACATACCTACTTGCCTACCTATTTACATACCTGCCTTTTTACCTACTTGCCTATCTTTTGCCTACCTACCTGCTACCTACTACCCTACTTGCTTCTTGCCTGCTGCTTACCTGCCTCCTACCTGTATGCCTGTCTACCTACTTGCCTACTTCCTGTTAGCCTACCTGTTTACTTGCCTGCTGTCTTCCTGCCCATCTGTTTATCCACATGTATTCAGGAAACATGTGCCCTGGGGCCATCCACATCCTAGGGCCATCCATATCCTGGGGCCATCTATGTCCTAGGGCCACAGGTAATTGGACCATGCTGTAGGTATCCAGGAGGCCACATATCAACATAACCTGTGTCCAGGGGATACGCATCGCTGAGCTCTGAGGTGGCATGAATCAAAGTGTGTGTGTGTGTGTGTGTGCCTGCAGAGGATGTGTGTGTGGGTGTGTAAAAGTGTCGGTAGGTGAGGATGTGTGTGTGTGTGTGTGTGTGTGTGTGTGTCGGTATGTGAGTGGATGTGTGTGTGTGTGTGTGTGTGTGTGTGTGTGTGTGTGTGTGTGTCGGTAGGTGAGGGGATGTGTGTGTGTGTGTGTGTGTGTTTGTATATGTGTGTGTGTGTGTGTGTGTGTGTGTGTGTGTGTGTGTGTGTGTTTGTAGGTGAGTGGGGATGTGTGTGTGTGTGTGTGTGTGTGTGTGTGTGTGTGTGTGTGTGTGTGTGTTTATATGTGAGTGGGATGTGTGTGTGTGTCGGTAGGTGAGTGGGATGTGTGTGTGTGTCGGTAGGTGAGTGGGATGTGTGTGTGTGTCGGTAGGTGAGTGGGAGGTGTGTGTGTGGGTGTAGGTATGTGTGTTTGTGTGTGAAGTGTGTGTATTTTTATGTGTGTTACTATATATGTGCGTGTATATTTATGTGTGTGTAAGTACTATATATGTGTGTGTGTATATATCTGTGTGTGTGCGCGTATGTCTATGTACGTATATCTGTATGTATATGTGTATGGAGTGTGTTTAAGTTTTTGTGTAGGTGTGGGTATATATATATATATATATATATATATATATATATATATATATATATATATATATATATATATATATAGTAATCCACAATTTTGTTCTAGGATAAGATAAATGGATAAGTCTTTCCATTTTCCGTGTGATTTATATATATATATATATATATATATATATATATATATATATATAATTTTGCTGTCTTGTTCACATCTCAGCTGCCTCACGTTTCTGGTCAGCACTGCCAAGGCACCTGCTGTTTCTTTCCTGTGTGATTTTATCAAGATTTATCTACCACGTTTCATTAGGATCTATATATATATATATATATATATATATATATATATATATATATATATATATATATATATATTTATATATATATATATATATATATATATATATATATATATATTTATTGATGTGGGTGTATATACGTGTGTGTGTGTGTCTGTGTGTGTGTGTGTTGGAGGTAGAGCAAGGTGAGATGAAATGAGGAGGTGAGGGGTGAGGCAGGTAGACTGCCGGGTCCCACCTCAACCTGCTCCACTGCTCCCTGATTTCCAAAAGAGCCTTCCAGGAAGGGCCCCACGGGGGGAACGTGCATGGAACTTCAGGTGTTGGCGGGAGGTGAGGAGGAGGGACCCAGGGGGAGGAGGGACTAGGTGAGGAGGTGAGGACCTAGGTGGGAGGGTGACTCAGTGAGGGAGGGAGCCAGGTGAGGGAGGAGGATCTAGGTGAGGGAGGAGAGATCTAGTGAGGAGGGAGGGTTAGTGAGGGAGTGGAGGGATCTAGGTGAGAGAGGGAGGGATCTAGGTGAGGGAGGGAGCCAGGTGAGGGAGGGAGGGATCTAGGTGAGATAGGGAGGCATCTAGGTGAGAGAGGGAGGGACCTAGGTGAGGGAGGGACCTAGGTGGGGGAGGGACCTAGGTGGGGGAGGGAGGAACCTAGGTGAGGGACGGAGGGAGCTAAGTGAGGGAGGGAAGAACTAGTAGGTGAGGAGAGTCAATTCAGTGACTATTATCTTAGAAATGACGATACAGTTAATGGTTTCGATGTAAATTACGTATAAAGTACAGGTATACATTAACTTCCCTGTAGTAGCAGTATAAATGGTACTTTAACCTAAATAGGATTCAAAATGAACCTAGAACCTATAGTTAATGTACTCATATACATAGTTAAACAATCATACTGAATTACATATGTATCGTTTGGGAGTTCAACTGGATAAGTCTCTGTTCATGTATAACAATAAGTCGGTGAAAATTACTAGGGGCGTCTGGGTATGTAAACAAAGACTGTATATAACAATAACACAAATGGATTCCATGTCTTACCGTTTTTGCAGTTGTTCTTTCTCATTTTCTTAATTTACGACCAATGTTATGAAAAAAGAACCAACTGGCACCTGGGTTCAAGATGAGTCGGTATCGGGTACATAATCTACAGGTGAACCCTCACGTACACCAGCAGCGCTTGTTGTATGCTCAGCTGTCCCAGGTTGCATCTTGACGAAGGTTTAACTTGTGATCTATGGCGAATACAAATCGTTCTTCTGGTGCTTATTATTGATCAAAAGGTAGGAAAGGAGGGTGGTGGGGGGTGGGAAGGAAGGGGGGAGGGGAAGGAGGGAGGGGAAGGAGGGAGGGGAGGGGATTAATCGCAGGTTGAGATTTAATTCTCCTTAAAACTTGATTATTTGACAGAAAGATGAGAACTACAGCATAACTTTCTAAGCCTCACACCCCCTCCCCGTGTGACTTCAGTTAGTTTGAAGCAATAATATATTACTGGTTAACATGAGAGTTACGATCATTCGTAATCGAGAAACACTGCCTCAGCACGAATAGCTGTGTCCCTAAAATATTTGATAAATTATAATATCTAGTCATTGTGAACACGGTGAAATTACCTATCACTCCATGCATTAATTTTCCACCTTCTGATTTTTTATTTTTTATTTTTTTTATGGCAGTTCAGATTTCTCGGAATATTCTGGTTCTTTCTATATATTGAGCTTCGCCAGTTTATTGTGTGAGCTTCTAGTTAAGTCATGTTGCGGCAGTCTTGCATGGCGGCAGCTTATAAAACAAATAGATTTTTTCTCTTCCTATTTCAGTGAATTTTCCGACGAATAATACTATAATAATTTTCACTGTTTAACATGGTTGAGATAACTACACCAGTCCACACATTGTTACGTGTTACACCTGGTCACTGTTAACATTTACCTGTGTATCAACTTTAATTTTGTTTATGATTTGATGTGAAATGACACTTTGGTATTTCACGGAGTCATGTCTTGTACTGGCTGGTCCTCTGAACTTACCGTCTGCATGTGGACGTTAAGTGAGGTTTAGTATTACGACAGTGCTTCACCTGCTCCACTGTACACCTTCATTGAAACTCTCAGATTATATGAATTTAGTCCAGAAAATACTCGTGTATCTTGTGTCGACGTTAATAATTTATTCCGATGTTAATGTCCTATTATAGATTTCTCCACTGGCATTATTTCGTCTGGATTACATAACCGAGAATACGTGGGGATAAATTACATACCTTCCAGTACAAGGTCAGAGGGAAAGAACTCCGTGCTAAGCCACCCAGTTGTTGCCAGCGTCGCTCACTGCTGGCATGACACAGACTGATATATTTACCTTTACTTTATATTTATATGAGGTTGATATCTAGACTCCATGTTGGTGTTGGAATGAGAAAATATTAAGAATTTTAAGTTTGTTATCTTGTTAATTAGAACCATTGTGTGAGACGCTCTTTATAGCCTAGAATATACGAGTATATATCTCCAGCCTTATTTAGAAGGTAATATTTTATTTTAAATTGCCCTTTTTTCTAATTTATTCGCTTTTTTTAATAGGTTGCAGTACAAGGTTGTTACTGTTCAGTAGATAAAACCGGAAAGAAAATTAAGGTACCGAACAGCAGCGTCTTGAAATTTTTTTAAAAACTTCTGTTAATTGAAATGAGACAAATTTGATGTTTAATTATGGGTGAAACTACGAATATCTTTATAAACGTTATATTTTATAGTGTTTTAAATTGTTATTTTTGTGTTGTCCATTA